TATATATATATATATATATATATATATATATATATATATATAGGCAAACTATAATTCTCTCCTCTTCAAATATATGATTTAAAAATAATGGTCAAACCTTGCTTATCAGCAGCAGTCAAATTTAATTTAATAAAGCTTCATGGCATGATTAAACATTTGCTTATATATATATATATATATATATATATATATATATATATATATATATTCTGAGTTTTACAATCATAGCCACAGATATGTGTAGTTCTTTTGCATTATATCCAAGTATCAGTCTAACATAGGTAAATACACACACACACACACACACACACACAAATATATATATATAGATAGATAGATAGATAGATAGATAGATAGATAGATAGATGTTTACCGGGCTATGCAAAAATCTCATTAATAATTTGTCATGAGATGGCATTAAGAACATTTACTTTAAACCAAATTTGTCTGCAAGTATATGTCTAATATTGATAGGAACATGACAGCAGACATATTCCTACGAATGTTAGACAGATACTGGGATATAATGCAAAAAAAGAACTAAACATATCTGAGGCCATGATTATAAAACTCAGAAACCTTGCTTTAAATAAAATCTTCCTCAGCCTCAGAAATAAAGTATTGAATAAATTTGGAATTTAATAAACACTGATATGTAGAAAATAATGTTAGTATCATTGCATTTAGTGCAAGCAACTCATAAATGACTGCACCAATACATCAAAGCAAGATTTAAAATTATAATGTTCTCAATATTAAATGCCATGATGGAAAAACCAATAATGTTTTCTTGAATTTCAAAGACATAATTTGAATTCTTGGAAATTTCCAGTTATTATTAATACAGAAAATGGTATCAGCAAGACAAGTTCAAATCACTAGCCTGCCCTGTTTCATTCACTTTCAAACAAATGCCCTTGGGTAAGACCAGAATCTATTTGATATCCCCTTGCCAATGATTTAAATAGCAGGATAGCGTGGAGAAGGCAAAGAGAAACTACTAGATTATCTTTTTCAAGAAGCTATTGCAATTCATATATAATAAAGTAAAAAGGAGTCTGTTATTGATTCATTCATTTTCTAAGAATTATCAACCTTTTGAAGTTTATTTAAAGCCAGAAAATATTTTTAGGTTGTAAGAATTTGGTAAATAGTAATAATTTTATGATACAAGTCATACTAATTAACCTATAGCTGCATCAAGAAGTGGTGGATACATACCTAATGATAATTTAATAAAAAACAAGAAATTATAATGTGGATATAAAGTGGGGGATCAATACTATATTACAAACACTATATAAAATGATCCCCTACTTTGTCACAAAGGTAATTTTTATGCATTTATATTCCAGAGAGTGTAAATAAATCTAAAAGACATGTCTGTGTAGCTAACCAGTATTTGATTGATTGATTCATTCATTCATTTTCTACAACTTGTTTGCAGATTATTTAAAGCCAGAAAATATTTTTGGTTGTAAGAATTTAGGAGATAATAATGATTTAGTGATCCAATCTTAATATTTAACCCATGACTGGGAGGAGAAGAGGTTGATTCATACCTTACCTAAATTTATTTTTGTATAAGTGAATATAATGAACCCAACTGGAATTGGAACTTGGCTTTCCGATTAACAATTCTAAGCCATTACCCATCGCACCACCTGGTCGTCACAACTTACAGAACCTGGTATTAATAAGAGGTCAACTATCTAGGTATTAATCAGGCTCAATGTTGCCTAACTTCTGGGATCATACAGGAACAGGTGTTTCAAAATGATGTGGCTGTAAATCAAGGAATCTGTGGAGAGCCATGATTGCCTATGTTCTGACTATACATAACATTAAAAAATCTTTAAAACATTATCTTTAAAAGTTCATCGTAGGGAGAAAATTTATTTTTATTTTTTTTTTTTAATTGATATTGCTTGAATTTATTTATAAATTAAAATTTATATAGCACTCACAATAGATTATTAAATAATTTCAACCCAAGCAAGGAATAAAAGTCACTAAGATATAAGGGGTTACTGAGTATGAAAAAAACATAGCAGACATTAAAGGAACAGGATTTAAGAAGACAGAAGATGCCAATAGTATATAAATTTTTGAAGATTGCAGTTGACATGAAAGCAGGAAGCTAGAAAATAGTTCCACAATTGAGAAGTGTGGGAGCTGAGACTGTTAGCAGTAAAATTAGGGAACCTAACTGTCAATCTAGTAGTGCAGTTAAATTTGTGAAGTCAAGGTAACAATGGAAAAAGATAATCAGAACAATTACCTTCGCATTTATATTTATGGAAGAGGTAATGGTAAATGACATTATGGTGGCTGAAATGTAGATGCCAGATTAAGACTGATAACATTGCAGATCCTTCTTAGGATTTTGTCAAGAACTTCTAGGTATAAAATGAAATGCATGGATGAATTGTAAACTTATAAATGTGCAATGTGGCCATGTTCATAGTTAATATTATTGAATAATGGCTTTTTCTTTTTATTATTAGGGCTTCCATTATTTTTAATCTTTTTTTACATATGGATGAGGTTATTATACTTGTATTTTCTACTAGCATGTTCAAATATATATATATATATATATATAAATATATGTTTCATTGAATAATATAAATGTATTTTAATAAGTTTGTCTTTGTAATTCACCACTGAGAATGATCTTATAGTGTCTTCTTTGATGAATTTCCTCATAATGTCAAGAAAATGATTGGAGAACTGGAAAGGATTATAATAAAAATAAATAAACACAACATGTCTTTAATATTCAATGGAAGGTTAAAAATATACTGCCTAAATATATATATATATATATATATATATATATATATATATATATATATATATATATATATATATATGTATGTGACTGATATGTGTTTATATACATATTTTTTTTTGGAAATGGATTAAATTCAATATATTGTTATTTTTAATTTATTCTGTTTAAACATTATTTTAAATGGATACTTATATTCAAAACGAAAGCTCTGTTTTCTAACAGTATTATTAAATTAAGCAGTATTTTTTATCGAACAACACCAACCGGCCTGAATAATCAAGCAATCATGTCAGAAAAATAGGTGTCCTCCGACAGGTTTCAAACCTGCATCCCCTACGGGGAACTTTCATTATCTCTGACATGCCTAGACGGTAGAGTAATGGATAGCGACTCGGATTGAAGAATGGGAGAGCTGAGTTTGAATTCCATTTGAATCCATTACATTCACTTACATGCTAATAACCTTGGGAAAGGTATGAATCCTCTTCTTCTCCTCCTAACTATGGGTAAATAGCAGGACAGTCAGGGTCCTATAGCCTTGGATTGCAACTGGTCTACCCCAGAAAGAAATGGCAACCTACTGCAGAAAAAAATCTGTCTCGTTTGTTATGTATTAAAAGATAGATGATGGCCTAAGCATGTATCACATATGGCACATAACTGACTGACTGTTTAATCAAAAGACAGAGCTTCTACATGAATATGAGTATCCATTAAAAATAAAATTTAAATAAAATAAAAATAACACTATATCAAATTTAATCCAATTCCTAAAAATAAATTGTCTTTGTTTATGTTAGGGTATGATACACAGCAGATATCACTATTTCAAGGAGCAGCAGAGAACTATTTGGAATTTGAAGTCCGATGTGACTGAATCTATATGTGTGCATGTTCTATTATGCAGTAGAAATAAATGTTTACATCGTCACATTTTTATAAATATAAATAATTATTTATAAATAACTATATACGCATATACTTCATGCATTTATATATACATATATGTAAATAATTTCAGATATATCTATATGTGTAAAAGGACAATGTGAATAAAAAAAAGACTAAAATATGCGTTCCTTTTGCATTTGTTCATTTATATATATATATGTGTATGTATATATATATATATATATATATATATATATATATATATATATATACAAAATATACACACACACACACATATATATTAATATATGTGTGTGTGTGTGCCTGTCACTGTGAGTGTGTCTCTGTAAACATATATATTTATATTTTATATTATATATCTATATCTAGCTATCTATCCATATATATATATATATATATATATATATAGATAGATAGATAGATAGATAGATAGATAGATATAGATATAAATATAGATATATATATACAGATAAAATTCGAACAACTGGAGTATAATTCCACTGTACATAATATTTAATTTAAAAGAGGGCTCAATAAGCTAATATTATATATATATATATATATATATATATATATATAGTACAGGTAGTAGATCTATTGGTATGCAATCCAGATAATATAATATATATATATATATATATATAAATATGATTGCTACACTTTATTCATATATAAGAATATTTTTTATATATATATATTTTAAATATATATATATGTGTGTGTGTGTGTGTATTTATGTATGTATAAATATGATTGCCACACTATATATTTATACATAAAATATTTATTCTTTGTGCATATATACATATATGTGTCTGTGTCTGTGTCTGTGTGTGTGTATGTTTATGTGTGTGTAGATATTGGTTTTTATAAGTAGTTTCTTCTATACTCATATGTCATATGCTTTAATAGATGGAACATCTGTGATATATGAAAAGTGTATTCATTTATAAGAAAGCCTGAAGAGACCCAATTGTCTCAGCTATAAACAAGGCAAGACGGAATCATATATGTATGCATTCTTATATACGGACAGAAAATATAAATTTGACATGGTTGCCCTCACTACAGAATCGAGCTAATTTCTCCAATAAAACATAAGAAATGAAGTAAAATTTTGGTTTCTTTTTTCTATTTTTCTTTAACCACGGAGACAACATCATGGATGGATGATTCCAGAAGACCTAATCATGTCATCAGAATCGCCATATTCCATGATTGTTTAGTCATCCATGGAAATTAATATTGGAGAAATGAAATAAAATAAAGAGAAAGAAGCAAAAAATAAAGATCAGAAGAGAAGGAAGGAAAAAATGGGAAAGAAAAATAAAAGGGGGAAGAAAATTTGAGGAAGGAAAAAAGTAAAGATTGGAGGGGAAGGAAGGAAAAAAATGAGAGAGTAAAAGGAAAGGGCAAAGAAAGTGAGAGCAATGAAAAAATAAAGATCAGAGGAAAAGGAAAAGAAGATGAAAGAGTAAAAGGAAAGGGAGAATAAAAAGGGAAAGATGGGAGAGGAAGCAATGAAAGAAGAAATAGAAATTAAAATGTAAAAAAGAATAGGAAAAAGAAAAAGAGAATGATTAGAGGAGAAGGAAGAGAAGATCAGTAAAAAAGGAAAGGGTGAAGAAAATGGGAGGAATAAAAAAAAGAGAAAAATCAGAGGAGAGGGAAAGAAAGATGAGAGAGAAAAAAGAAAAAGAAAGAGAAAATGGGAAGAAGAAAAATAGAAAGGCAAATGTGAGAGAAAACACTGGAAAGGAAAGAGTGGATATAATTTGAGCCAAAGAAATGAAGAATGAAAGTAAGAATCAAAAGAAAGAATGGAAAAAGAAAAGAAAGAAAAGGAATAAAAGAAACTGAAAAAATAAAAGAGATGAAAGAAGAAAAATGAAGAGACAAAGCAAGATGAAAGATGGAGAGAATGAAAATGCACAAGAAAAATGGAATGTATGAGATAAAAGAAAGAAACTGAGAGGGTAAAACAGATGAAGAAAGAAAAATGAATGAAGAAGACCAGATATGGCAGTAGTATTCAATGTACAGATTAATGGTAGACTTGTAAATATGCAAGATGGATTCTGGCCAATACATTGATTTATTTTAACAACTTTCTTTATCTTTTTTGTTCTTATCCCAATGATGTAATCTCTGGCCTTCTTTCATCCTTTTTTTTCCTTAATTGTCACTTCTTACCACTTTGACTATAAACTTCCTAACTGAGTGGTTCTCGAATCTTAATAATTAATAATTTAACTGTTTATTATTACATTTTTATTCTTTATATAACAATCTTTATCATCAATAAGGTAAGTTCACAAAACTTATCTTTAACTGACTAAAAATTTATTTTACGATTTTATTACTCATCAGGCGTACTGTAGAGTAATGGATTGCAACTTAGATTGAAAAATCGTATATCTGAGTTTGAAATCCAGTCAAGTTCATTACATTAACTTACGTCCTCTCCCCAGCTATGGATAAATAGTAGGACAGACTGGGTTTTATAGCCTTGGGTGGCACCCTGTCTACCACAGAAAGAAATGGCAACCTCAGTTAGTTATGTTACATGCTTAGGCAATCATGTATTTTTTGATACATGACTGACAAGGCAGATTTTTTCTGCAGTAGGTTGCCATTTCTTTCTGCAGTAGACCAGTTGCCATCCAAGGCTATAGAACCTAGTCTATCCTCCTATTTACCTATAGCTGGGGGGAGAAGAAGAGGATTCATACCTTTCCCAATGGTATTAGCATGTAAATGAATGTAATAGATTTGACTGGAATTCGAACTTGGCTCTCCAATTCCTTAATCTGAGTCACTATCCATTACTCCACCATATATGAAAATCTTCTGCCTAGTCAGTCATGACTTGAAATAGATCTGATCACCCAATTGTCATACCTGAACATACCTATTCTATTATTAATAGACTCTCCCACACATAATAAGTAGTAGTAGTAGTAAGGGTCGCCAGTTGTGCTCAGTGGTGTTGAGCAAGTCAGTCGATATTGGACATTGAAGTATCAACCATCACAACTAGATTGCTGCATCATTAACTCTTATTTCAAGTTCCTAACGTTTTGTATGTCGGACCCTTATAGGACCGACTTAGCGAAATACAAGCCTCCACTGTGAAAACTACTCTACAACACCAATCATGTATCATGTATGACACTTAACCAACTGTTGCACCTCACAGTCAAACTAAACACCTAGATATGTTGGGGTGTCACACACTATGTCTTGTTGCATTCTCCTTAATCATATCCTTGATCTGAAATCTTTTTTTAAGATTTTACCCCTGCATTATTGAACCCCGAACTACCACTAGTCAAGATGAATTGATGTCAACTCAGGGAAGCCTCATACCTTCAGTGACAGTTGGGCCTTAAACTCACCCCAGACTTCAAGTAGAACTCATATACATGATCCATCACTAAAGGTGCAGGAAAAATAGTTGGTTCCCTGTCCTGCCCCAGTAAATACCTGATTCCTCATGTTATCCTCTATACTTTTACAAGACACAGATCAGGTTTAAAATGGAGTACTGCTGTCATATTTGGGTAGAAGCTGGCTTGTTCTCACTTTCCAGTCTCAAGAGAGTCTAAAAATGTCTTCATATCCTTGTGAATGACAAATTATTTTCCACCCTTCAACACCTTTCTCGCAGAGGGGATGTGGCAAGCACTATCGATACTTCCATGGAAAGTGATCAGACAAACTCCATTCCTGAGTTCTGCCAGTTCTAATCTTCATGGATAGGACCTTCCATATCAAACCACCTTTATTCCCTCCGTATTCCATTGGCGAGATGTAAGTTCCACTTAAGCAGATTCTTCCCTTGAACCACTGCTCTGTAGAACTGACTCCGAAGAGGATGTTTCCCCAATCACTACAATATTAACCTGTTCAAGTCTATGGTTAACCATTATCTTCAACCACCTATCTGCAAAAACTGAGCCTCTTAATCTGTAAGACTCTACCTCCAGTGGCCTCTGGTCTTTGTACAAGGTGAACCTCACTGTAAAAAAAGAGTTGGGTTGATATATTTGATTGAGGTGACAAAAAATCCTTGCATGTGATATGAAGAATGTTTTGGCATATTTTCATGATGCATAGACATAGTACATAAGATCACACAGACTGGAGCAGCTACATATTTATTTTCCTGTCTTGATAGGGTTCAACATTGTTTATGCAGGCTTGTCGAGAGGGAAGATTTATTCTCCAACTTGGTAACTTTCTCAAAAATTCCACATCTCTATATCATCACTATTCTGTTGCTATATCCACGGATTTTAGATTAGACAATTTTCTCACCAAAGTCTATCTTACATATTTACTAGCAGCGTTACGTGTACCTTGCTAAATGTTGCACATTCTTTTTGTAAAAAAATTATGGTTGATTTTAAACCATTGTTACAATTTGTGGAGAAAATGATGCATTTCGAAATTACTCAATGATCTTGTCGATGTGATCTTCATCTTCTGGCTTTCTCCTTCTATATTTTGAATAGGAATCATTCCCTTGTTCAAATTTAAATCAAAAGGAAAACATTTTCACTGGGGGATTTGTGCAAAAACAGCTTGACCTGACCCCTTTGATATGTATTTGATGCAATACTTGATTGAATGAATTGATTTCAACATTGATATAACAGTTGAATTATCGCAACAAATATGTATTGTAAGGCACTATCCACTGATTAGTGATTTCTTGCTCAGCTTGACATCCATATTGTCTCATTTTGATCTTGTCAATGTGACCTCCATCTTCTGGCTTTCTACTTCTATATTTTGGATATGAGGCATTCCTTATTTAAATTTAATTTAAATCAAAAGGAAAAAAAAATTCAGTGCGCGGTTTGTGCTCCCCAGGAACTCTCTTTGATAAAATGAAATATACTTATCCAAGTACCCTAGAAATCATTCCCTTGTTCAAATTTAAATTTAATCTATATCAAAAGGGAAAAAATTCTTAATGCTCGGTTAAACTAAACGTGTTTGGGTATATAGTCTAGCTGATTTCATTTAGTTTCCTATTATTTATGTTTTTATCAATTTGTTATTATATATCCCACATTGTGATAATAGATCTGCCAAGAAAGGTGAAATGTTCTAAGGATATAGGTGGAAATTTACTGTGGATGCTCTAGTGATTAAAGCACTTTCTATAGATTTTCATCTTAGTAAATTGCTTTCTCTTTTAATTAAAGTAGCATTTATTAAATCAAAATTAGGGTCAGACTCATTACGATGTGCAACCAATTTATTTAGTGTATTGTTTTGTAAAATATCCATTCATATGTTCATATCCGCTTTTATTTAAATTCCTTGCAGTTTCTCCAATATATTCCTTATGGTAATTAATACAGGTAATAGAGTAAATTCCCCATTCAAGTTTTTAACTTATTTTGTTTTGTATCCAGCTGTAATTGTAGTTTTTTTTTATTGTTTTAGAAGTAGTGTCAACAGGTGTTATGTTAAGCTTAGATAAATTCTTTTCAATCCTAGAGATGATAGAGTTGGAAGAACAATATATTTTAATTTGTTGCATTTGCCAGAATCATCCTGTAACAGTGTAGATAAGTTAAAGTTGTTGTAGTAGCAATCCTGACTTGATATTATTTGTTGAGTGTTGTTACAGTAATTACCCCATTGCTATATGTATTTGTAGTGTAGGAGGAATCATTTTCTATTTTTTGTATATTGGAAATGGAATGAATTAAAGCATACAGCAATAACATAAACAATAAAAACTTTAGACATGTGCTGATATAAATAGCAAGAATTTTTATTTTCTTTTTGTGATGTGAATTACAAAATATTGGTATGGTGTTCTCAGTGTCTCTTTTGTTTAAAAGTCAGTGCTTACATAGTTTGGTTCTGAGAATTTTGTTTGTGAGGATGCGTTTAAAATCATCCATTTTCAATCATCTGGAGTTGAGGAAGGCATTTGACATAGTTTCATTTTGAGAATTTTATTTGTGAGGATGGCATTTGAAATCATCTGTTTTTGATCTGGCAGATGTGTGTTTCTACTGACTACTACTACTTGTCTACTGGTCTCTCCACATGGTGGAAAGGTTGTTTTAATAATCATGACGGTTAGAATGATGTAATATCCTTAATTTTTATCATTGCTGATGGCAAGCTTATTTTTAAAATGATGAAATATCATAATTCTAGACTATAACAGTCCACTCATCTACTTTGCAATATTTTATGTTCCTTTTGTTTTACATCGGAAATGAAATAATTAGGGTATTGAAATGAAATTAAATGAAATTAGCAAGACTATATATCTAAACACATACATAAAAAATTTTAATTTTCAGCATCAGTTCTCCTTCATGCACATGTGTAATCACATCAGTGTAAATATCTCTTTAGTCCATTGAAATTATAAATGTCAATTTTTTTGCACTTTGTCATAGATTTCCTAAAATAGTTCTGATATTTAAAAATTTATATATAGTTTTCACATTTAAATATATATATATGTATGTGTGTGTGTGTGTGTGTGATAGCAAAATCTGGGAGACTGAGGAAATAACATATATGTGTGTATAAAATTTTTCATCAGGAAGTCAATAAATTTACTCTTCAAATGCTCCACCCACAAATAAGGGTTATTAAAATCATCCTCAGATGACACAGATGTGGATGTCTTTGAGGAAATCTCAGTTGATTCATTCATTTTACTTTAAAAATACTACTATTATTATTAAATAATTATTAATTATTATTAATTATTATTATTATTAAATAATTAGATATCGATATAACTGATTTGTTTATTTTTTACACCCTTTTTTAAGACAACCACAGATAAGTGAAATCTTGTTTAATAATTTTGTGGATAGTAATGTCTTTATGGTTAGCGATTCCATAGGTGGTTAGGCCCTGCTGGTTATACATGCACATGTATATTGAATTTTTAATTATTGAAGATGAAATATGCCTTTCCCTATTTACAATATAAAACACAAAGCAAATAAAAAAATTATTAAATTCCTTGAGTGTAAAATGTGGAAAATTCCTTGATCGCAGAAAATTGAAATAACCAAATTTTCCAATATGCAAGGAGTCATATCAAGCAAGGAATTTCCTATCTGTCATATTTTCTGCAGAGAAAATTTAAGAGTTTTAAATTAGAAAAGGACACGATATTATGCAGTTGCCATTATTGGCTTCAGAATGGTTAATTTTATCTCTCTCTCTCTCCCTCTATGTTTTTTCTCTTTTTATCACTGACACACAAACACACATATATTTATAAAAGAAGGTATCTAATATTTGAATATCTTGAAGATTGTTTGCATAGCCTTGATTTTACTTGTTAATCCATTACAAGGCTCGAGAGTCACTCAAGGCAGGGGATTACTGTTAACAGGTTTATGATGAACGAGGTGTATGATATGAATGAAAAAGACAAAATGAAGATGCTAGGAAAGAGAATTAAATAAAAGGAGACAATTTTTAAAAATGCCGACAAAATTGAAAATATGAAAGTAAGAGAATTAAAGAAAGTGTTCTTTGATTGGCTGATTTGTTTTTTTTTACAGTTTATCAACCCTTTGTAGGTTATTTAAACATATTTTGGATTGTAGGAGAGGCTTAAAGTACCCAGTGTTTCCAACCAGTCTCTTATCTAAGTATTGACCGGGCTCAATACTGCTATAATCCTTTTCTTCTCTCCAAACATGTCTCTTAGGCACCAGTAGTCCAGTCTCGCTTTCTCTTGATTTGCAGATGCTCAGTTTGGACACTGCTTGTTCTGGTATCTCAATTTTTGCATGGCTATGAGATAAGACGAGTTATACAGCTTCCAAAACTAGTTTAGGGATTGGTGCCAGTATAATTCGCTGATCGTTCAGTTTTGGTTCTTCAAGTATTGTGATTCTTACTGAAAAAAAGTTGTCTTTCTTCTTTTAGTCAATAAGCCATGGTAAACTTCTTGTTGATGACTGAGCTGACTGGAAATAAAATCAAGCTCTCACCAAAGAAATAATAATGACAGTTGTTAGTTAGTTAGATGATTTAATGAAGGTGAATAAAATAACTTACAATTGGTTATAATTGGCATCTATTAACACAAAATAATTAGAAGATGGCAATGTGGAATCTTGATCTATGTGTTCAGCAAGTTTTAACAGAAATTCAAGTGAATATTGCACCCTTTCCTCAGGTGTGCAACTGTTTGTGGGTGTTTGATGACCATCTGTCTCTCTTGTTCCTGCCTGTCTCTT